TTGCCTGCCCCGAACACTGGACTTTGGCCTCAACGTGAAGCTTTTCTGGGAGAAGTTTGTCCCCACAGACTGCCCCCCAGCCTTCTTCCCCCTGGCTGCCATCTGCTGCAAACTGGAGCCTGAGAGCAGGTTGGTACACCACCCCTTTCCCCCAGCTCACACAGCTCTGGGATACTGGCCCCAGCCTTCAGCCTTTCTGAGCTCTTCCCAGGCACGGGGCTGGCAAAAGCGTTGAGCTCAAAGAGGGGCTGTCAACCACTGAAGCCACCTGACAACTCTGACATGCCAGGTAGGGGAGGGAGATGAGGGCGTAGTAGCAAGTGACCTGGATATCACAGGCTGGATATAAACACAGCCATTAAAAAAATTTAACAGAAGAAAATTCACCCAAACTATACCATTCTAACAGAATAAATGTCTTCATGTTTCCATATTCCCCGTCCGTGTCCAAACACACATTTTTTATATCATTAAATAATCTCAAATAGAGAAAAGTTTTATATTTTGCCCTGCATTTTCCTTGTTGCTGCCCAATTTTCCTGTTTATCATTTTTGTTGACTACCTGAAATTTCAATTAAGAAGCTGTCTGAACATATAATATACATAATGTAGATGTTCAGGTTTTTCCAGTTTCTCTTTGCAGTTGATATTACTACAGTGGGCATCTTTATGCATTTAGTTAATTTTCTCCTTTAAAGAAATCTTTTAAAAATTACTTTTATTCTTCTCAGGTTATCACTTTCATTATTACCAAAGTTATCCTGGGTCTTTTCAAGTTTGTGCATCAGAAAACTAGAATCTTGTGCTTTTTCTCCTGCTATCAAAAATCATGTTTCTTTTAAAAAAACAAATTTAAGCGTTACCAAAATATATAGCACAGGATGTATATGTCTTCCATAATTTCCTAACCAATGCACCCTTCAGCACTCTCCTCACTCCTCAACTCCACCCCACCAAGAAAAGCAGTTGGCACATAGCCTTTATTTTAAAATGATTTCTGATGGTCCACTTCACAGCTGGGACTTGCTAGTGCGAGGCTCTAGATCTTGTTCCTTCATGGACCAAAGGACCACACTTCTTCAGTAACGCCAGATGAAGAGCACGAGGAGAAAACAAGAAGCTACACAATATTTGTTAGCTAATATCCCTTCTCAGTCACTCTCAATGTTTGTCTTTAATTCATTCAAAAAATACTTAGTGAGTGCTTACCATATGCTCGATACTGTTCTTAGCACCTGGGGTACAGCAGTGAACAACACAAAGGTGCCCGCCCTACTGGAACTCACATTTTAACGAAGAGAGATGATAAACAGTACGTATAATAAACTAAGTATTAGAAAGTGACGAGTGCTATGGAAAAACGAGTCAAGCTGAGTAAAGAGGATTGTGTAGGGTGCAAGTTGCAATTTTAAATATGGTGGTCAGAGTAGGTCTCACCGAGAAGGTGACAAGATACTTAAACAAAAACGTGGAGGAGGCAGAGGAGTAATTCTGAGATGCCTTAGGATTCCAGGGCAGCTGAGCTATTTCCACAGCACGAGGAGCCCAGTGTTTGCTTTCTCTGGGGAGAGCTGCTGAGTCTATGAAATGCCCCTTCCTGGGCAGATGCATTGATGTGGAAACAGTCTCAGGACTGGAAAGGATCTTTAAGGCACTTAGTCCAATCCCACCTTTGATGATTGCATTTTCTCCAAGACATGTGAGGGGCTTTTTTTCTCCTGGACTTTCTTTTTTGAAGCTACTCCCTGGAGTTAGGCCAGCCTTCTCACAGTGTTATCTCTAATCTTTGCAGCAGCAGTAACATTATATCATCCCCATTTCCCATGGAGGCACAACAAGGTTAAGGGGCTTGCCCGAGCCCATACAATTAGGATGTGGTTGAGCCACAGGCCTACCTGCCTTTCACACCACCCCATAGCCGTGCCCATATCTCACCTGCCCCTAACTCACCCCTTGTCTTTCCAGACCGGCGTTCTCAAAACTGGAGGACTCCTTTGAGGCCCTCTCCCTGTACCTTGGAGAGCTGGGCATCCCACTGCCTGCAGAGCTGGAGGAGCTGGACCACACTGTGAGCATGCAGTATGGCCTGACCCGGGACTCACCCCCCTAACCCCTGCCCAGCCCCCTGCAGGGGGGCGTTCTACAGCCAGCATTGCCCCCTCTGCGCCCCATTCCTGCTGTGGGCAGGGCCGTCCGGGCTTCCTGTGGATTGGCAGCTTGTTTAGAAGCAGAACAAGCCATCCCTACTACCTCCCCAGGAGGCGAGCGGGTGCAGCACCAGGGAAACACATCTCCACAGGTTTGGGGCCTGGCTACTGTCTGTAAATCCAACACTCGCCTGAAAGCTGTGAAGAAGAAAAAGCCTGGCCCTGGGCCAGGAGGAGTCTTACTTGTGACCACTCGGGAACTCCCTGGCAGTGGGATTCTGGGACGCTCTTGCTTACACTAATCAGCGTGATCTGGACCTGCTGGGCAGGATGCCAGGGCGAACCTGCCTGGGGCTCTGAAGTTTCTGGTCCAGCTGGGTACAGGAGGACTTCAAGTGAGACTGTGGACAAGAGAAAGCCTGGTGGCCAGGCGGCACTCCAAGGATGTGAAACGACAGTGGTGCTACGCCCCTTCCACTTCGTGTCCTGCCTTCCCTTGGGGCAGGGATTGAGGGAGTAGGTTTTGAAGAGTCTCTTAGTCAGTTTGTGGTGGAACTGACCAGGAGTCAGGGGAAGGGCTGGTTTCTGTTCACCTCCCAGGTGCAGGGGCCATATCAGTGTGAGGGGAAGCCTCCACCTCGTGTTCTGCTGGAGACTGACTGAGAACTTCTGGGCCTTCCTTTCTGCCTGCAACAAGCAGTCACCCACAAGTGCAGGAATGGCTGGGGGCGAGAAAGAAAGAGGGCCCTGACCTCTAGAGAGGCCATATCCTGGCTGCTGTCACTCATACCTGGTGGGCACCTCAGTCAGAAGCCCAAGACATTTTGCCTAGGGCTAGATGGGTTCTGGAGGACTGTGTGGCTTGTCACAGGCCCAGTGTATGAGGCGGGGGAGTGGCAATCTCAGCAATCTCTTAGCCTTGTCCTTGTGGCAGCCACTGCTCACCCTTCACCATGCTGGTCCAGGCAGCACCTTGGGCAGGAAGAGGTGGTGGCAGAGTCCTAAAGCTGAGATGCCGGGGAAGACAGCTCCCTGCGCTGGGCTCTCTGGCTTCTACCTCCCTTGTTGGCTGGTCCAGCTCACTAGCTCCTGGCTGCCACCTCCTGAGCCACAGCCATGGGCACTGAAGAGCCCTGGGGGCACCCTCCACCTTGGCTTCCAGAGCTCTAGGGACTGTTGAACACAACTAGATTTGCCTCTCCCTAAGTGTCTGTGAGCTTGCACCATATTTAACAAGTTGGGAATGGGTTTGGGATATTACTTTAATGTGTGGTGGTTGTTTGGAGGGGGTGAGGCGGGGCGGGGCGGGGGGAGTGATCCAAGAGAGTGGTTGCTGTTAATACTATCTTGTTATATCTGTTGGGTGATATGTGAAATACTGTACATAGACCTGATAAGTTGTGGGATTAGATGTCATCTCTGACCAGAGTTTACTTGCTGTATAGACCATACTTAGGTGTGGAGTGTGCAAGCTTGTATAGGGTTGAGCCCTGGGCTCCCAGCAGCAGCAAGGTCCGTATTGTGTGGCTGGTTGTGCCTCGGCTGTCCCCAGCAAACGTGGGAGTGGTGGGCCCACGCTGGGCCATTGAGCAGACCAAATAAATTAAGCAGTTAACTTAACTGATGATACTGAGAGTGAAAAAGTGACTTGGGGCCTGGCTCAGGGAAATCCGTGTGGAGGTTTTGCTGGCCTGTCTGCCAGGAAGTGCAAGGCCTCCCCTGCTCCCTTCTAGAGGAACACTGCTGGGCACTTTCAGGCCCAGGTCACACGACTCCCCACAGCAGGGAATTCTTATGCTCCCGAATCCTAATCCCCTCTCTTTATGTGGACACCAACCTGCTCCAGAGAACATGTACATCCCCCCTGAGGCAGCCCAGTCCTTGGAGAGGGCTGACTGACTCCCACCTGCTGGCCAAGTCATTCCTTCAGGGCCCTACACTCCCACCCTCTAATATACATACACTCCTATAGCCTGGATATCCTGGAGTCCTCTCCTCAGGGCCGGGTCCACCTTCATAATGGGAAGCAATGAATACAAATGACCACACCCCTTGTGTTTCCCCACAAGTGCTTGAGAGGAGACGACCTGTTTCTTCTTGCTTCTGTATATAGAGGATATTGTGGACGGATGACCCATGGGGCAGGATGATGCTATCTGGCTAGTGGGATTCTGGGCACAATATAAATCCACATACCCAAAAGTGGTTTCTCCCAAAGCTTGAGGAGTCCAACTTAAGGGCAGAATCTGGTTACTGGGAAACTGACGCTCCAGGGTGCTCCTTGCTTATAGAACTATAAAGCAATGTCTGGACATGGGCAGAGGTCACTCTGGGGATTCCTAGAGGCTGAAAACCTGTTGCTGAAACCCACTGGTAAAAGTCCAACAAACACTCCTATTGGTAGCTTCTTGAGCCCTAGGAGTCACCCCCACAGGGACCTTCCTCAGCCCAAGGACCCATCCCCCTCTGCACACCCATCCCTCCACTGGCTGCCGTAGCTCCATCACCCACCATCCCTGTCTCCAGCCCCTGCCAAGGGCTGCATGGATGTTCCTTTAACTACCTCCAGCTCTGAAAGAATGCTGACGTGGAGAGGATTTGCAGCGACCAATATCCCTTTGGGTTGCCCGCACACCCACCTTTCCTGCAGCTTCAGCCTGAAAGATTCCTGGTGATGACAGAACACAGAGGCGCAGTTACCAACCATTCAACTGTTGCCACCTCCCAGTTAGAGCTGCAGAGTGAATGAGAAAGCCAGAGCTCACCACACAGTGTTGACAAGGTAACTCAAGACTTCCCAACTTAGGAGAGAAGTGTCCTGGTACCCTACAAAAAATTGGCAATACGGAGTCTTTTTTTTTTTTAATTTATTTATATAAGTGAAATGGCAGAGCAATTTCCTGCACTTCATACACAGGTGTCAGAATGAGGTATATAAAACACGTATACAGAGAAATACTTTTATAAAAAAGTAGAAACCAGTAATACTCTCTTCTTCAGCATCACTAACACCAAGGGACCCCCTGAGGCCTAGGTCCCCTCAGCAGACGACTCCTAGGAACAGCCTACTGAAGAGAATGGGCCCTACCAACCCCCCTCTCCACGTGGGGCAGTGGAAGGGCTCTGGGAAGGAAGCTCTGTGGATAGAGTACTGCTAAGGCTTCCAAGTGTGACATCAGGGCTTGGAGGCCCTGCTGAGGCGCTGGCACAATCCAGCACAGTGCTGTGGAGAAATGTTCCTCCTCTTGGCTATGCCGGTAGCTTGCCCTGACCTTGGGGCGTCACTTCCCCCCTCTGGGCCACTTTGTCCAAAAGGCTTGAGGAACCCTAAGGTCCCTTCCAATGGTTCTATGATTGTTTTACAAGTTAGGGGTTGTGACCCCTAGCCCCACTGCCCCACAGGAAGGTGCTGGCCTGGAGGCCACAGGGCCACCTGCAAACTCATACCACAGCAGAGGCAAGCCTGAAGGACTTCATTACCTTGCCTCTGAGCATAGTTTCCAGGTCACCCTCTCAGAAGCAGCTCACAAGACCCCACAGTGTAATTCCCGTAGGTTAGCTGGCTGTTGTCTTACCCCTGCAAAATGAAGAGGTCACTGTCTACCCTGAGGGGAGAGAGACGAGGGCACCCCAGGTCCACCTCAGGTCCTGTGGCCTAAGGCAGTCATGGATCCTTCTCTACCCTCCTCCTAAGTGGAATGTTCAGTGCAATTCTTCCCTTCCTTTCCTCTCCAGACAGGAAGAGTCCCTGGGCCTGGGCCCAGGCCCGGCCCACGGTTGTCAAGGCACATCACTGCCAGCAAGCTGGAGCACACCCAGCAGCCCCCAGCCTAGATCCTGTTCTCAACCCACAGTTTTGACTTTTGTACAAACTCATTTCCGGTTCTCAGAGGTCAGTAGGGAGTTCCATCCCAAATATTTAAAAAACTAAATATATTTTTTAATGCTGCCTCTCGACCTGCTTGACCTGGACTATGAATAACAGTGTGTGCCCACAGAGAACAAACAGAAAGGCAGAGACTGAGGCCATCTTGGATAATAAAGCACAGAGGAGCTGGGGGAGCTCCCTGTCCATCCCTGGTTCAGTTCTGGGGCACGGGTGATGTTTGGAAACCTTTGTCAGCAGCACTGCTGTGGGGGCGGCCACTGTCTCCATCCACGGGCGAAATCCTGCTCCAAGGGATCGAGAAGGCGTATTGGTAGGACCCTACCCAGCTTCGCCCTCAGCCCACAGCGCCTCCTGCTTCTGTCTTAGGATTCACCAAAACAAAAAAGTGAGGGGAGGGTTTTAACCACAACAAAAGTGTAGACCTCCCAGCTGTAGGAGGGTAGGCCAAACTGCACCAGTGTCTGCATGGGCTCCTGCCCACTGTGAGGGGCTCAGGCCCCAGGAGTGCCTGCTTGGCCCATGAGGGGGGCACTGCCCTCCTGAAGGTCAACTGGAGTCTGGTTGGTGTGGACCACAACAGTCTTCTCATCCACGATCTCACAGGTGGGGTTGGTGAAGGCAGACAGGGGCAGGGTAATTCGCTGCATCTCCCTCTCACACACCTTCTGTTCATGCTGCTCTCTCAGGTCCTTCCCCCTGGAGAACAAAAGGGAAGCATTCAGGCTGTGCTTCTTGTGTGGCTTTGCTCATTAGACAGCATCTCTGAGGCCCGAGCAGGGGCAAGCCATGGTCACAGCAAATCAGTGGCTGATGTACTAGATTTGTACCCTGCCAGACTGCCTTAACTCAACAAAGAGCTCCCACACCTCTGGTCTCTGCTTCCTCATCTGTAAAATGGGGACGACAGTAGTATGAAACTCACACGGCTGCAATGGGGCTCACTGAAGACAGTGTAGAGAGGAAAGAGAGTCTTAAAGCAAGATGCAGTTTTGTTCTTTCAGCCCAGGGCTCCAAGAGACTCAGAGAACTATCCTGGCCCTAACCCATAAAGTCAGAAAACTGGTTTGACCATCTTGTTCTGAGACAGTCATCTTATCCTGAAGTCCCACAAGGTGTGAGCCCCGACTGGAATCAGGGACCATCCCCACCCAACGCAGGGGGCTAAAACGATTCTGATGGCTGCTCAGGTCAATGGGAAATGATGAGACAATGACGGTCAGACCCCTCAGAGTTTTCACAGGCCTTTGAATTCTCATGGTGCTCATGACTCAGTGAGGCCATCGTGTTGCCCTATTTTACTCAAGTGGAGTGCTCACTCCATGCTGAGAACTTTATGTACATTATCTGACTTCATTCTCAGCTGAACCCTAAGAATTAGATCTCATTCATTTTATAGATGAAGAAATAACCCAGAGAAGTTAAGGAACTCTCCAATGACATGGTAGGCTCAAATCCAAGTCTGCTGGACTCTGGCTGGTACTCAGAGAAGTTCTGATCTGATCAAGGTCACCCCAAAGAAATGGTGGGGCAGGGACTCAAACCCAGTCTTCTGGCTGCACATGTAGATCCCTTTCCACTGCACCAGGTCACCCCAATTGCAGGCCAAAGGGTTGGGTGAGTGCCCAGCACACTGTACACTAGAACCAGGACCTAGGTCAGCATCCTCTGAAGCCAGCAACTAGACACATGGACTCAGCTGTTGGAGGAAATCTTCCTGGAAGGAGCCCATCCCAAAGAGGCCTTGACGCAGGCAGCTGATGGATGACTTGGTGAAACAACACAGGCCTGCTTCAGACCTCCTCAGGGAGATGGCTGAGATCAGACAGATTACACATCCATCACAATGTCAGGTACAATGACCAGAGTTTCCAGAGACAACAATATTGAGAAAACAGCAGGGGCTGGAGGGGAAGGAGTTTGCACGGGTGCCTCAGAACTGTCTTTAAATCAACCACTTCTCTTTACTTCTGTTCCAGTATCAGCTCAGCCTTAGCTGTGTGACACTTGGCAAAACACTTAGCCTTGCTGAGCCTTGGTTTCCTCATCGCTGAAAGAGGGATAATATCTGCCTCAAAATAAGATAATGGGGGCCGGCCCGGTGGTGCAGTGGTTAAGTGCACACGTTCTGCTTTGGCGGCCTGGGGTTCACTGGTTCGGATCCCGGGTACAGACATGGCACCGCTTGTCAAGCCATGCTGTGGCAGGCGTCCCACATATAAAGTAGAGGAAGATGGGCATGGATTTTGGCTCAGGGCTAATCTTCCTCAAAAAATAAATAAGATAATGAATGTGAAAGCATTTTGAGAACAGTGAGACTGCTGTAAAACCCATAAGTGGTTATTATGATTTGCCCTGAGTATGACTTGACTCACCAAGCAATGTTATCTTAATTTGGCTTCCCAAGCAAACTCTCCTACTGGCCAGCTAAGGCAGGTATTGCTGATATGACCTGAGCAACTCCCCTCCTCTCTGGGCCTTAATTTCAACATCTGTAAAACAAGGAGTTGAACCTGATCATCTCTGCGGCCCCTAACATTCTGTAAGATCCCTTGCATGAGATGTTCTCTGATTCCCCGCTTGCCACTGTAAGGTCACAGAGGGCAAAGTCATGAGCTCATCTCCTTGAGTCACCTTGGGTGACTGAGTTTCTGAATGTGCAAGCCTCAGGCTCTTGCCCCATCCTTCTCCTTAGCCTCTGTACTGGACACCACCAACTCCCGCAGCAGAATAACTCCCAGAGCACCCAGAGGGGAAATGGAGGGACGTGGGGAGAAGGTCATCTGGACCAAGTGCATCCACACTCAGCTTGAGATTCACTTTACCGTTGGGCACTGCTCATCAGTTACAGTACTGCCACATGGAAGGAAACACCCACCTCCAAAATAAAACAAAAAGCCAGATTCTTCCAGGTTGCCCAGGTAGAGAGAAACTTGGAAGGTCTTGGTTTAATTTTATCAAGGGAGCCCCCAAGCCAGCAGAAGACCAAAAGGCACTTTACAAAAGATGTAGTTTGCAAGTGTGTTTGCTAAGGCCTGAATTTCACGATCTAAGGGGCTGGAGGAACAGGGAAAGTGGGAACTCATACTTCCTGAGTACCTACTAAGCTGCCAGGAAATGGCCTTCCCATTACCCAGGATGAGAAGAACTAATTGTGTACCTACTGGATGCCATGCACTTTATATGCATACCCTCTTCATTTAATATCCACACCAACTTTGCAACATAATGTCATCCTCATTTTATAGATAAAGAAACTGAGGCTTTAGAGACTGAGTCCAAAGCCCTGCTCTCCTCAGCTACCTCCTTTACCAGGCATCTGGCTGTGGCCAGCTGAGTTGTTGATAATGGCCAGGCTGCTTCATACACAAGTCTTTAGGGGGAAAAAAATCAATTGTATTGGGGCAGGGCAGGGCTGGAAGAACAGCCAAGGGTAAAGGAAGCGGGTGCTAGGACTCATCCGGATTACAGTCTCATCCATTTGGAAGCCTCAAAACACACCCAATCTCACGTGCCTCATGTTAATGGTGCCTATGAGTCCCAGAGACGCAGCGGCTGCCTCCAGCTCCCTCCAAGACCTGCGAGAGGCCACTAGGCCTGCTGCACTGACCATCATGCAGCTCAGCCCCTTCCCCCTGGGGAGGGGCAGGGGGGCAGCTGGGCGGTGGTCTGGCAGCCAAGAGAGAACAAAAGGCTTATTCACTGACTCAGCTCCTCTCCTAAGGGGGCGGGAGTGGTGTTGACTTACAGTTTTTCCCTTGCCTTTTTATCAGAAAATAGGCACTCCCTCAGGAGCTAGCACAGACATTGTGCTGAGGGTAGGGACAGGGAGCTGCCCAGTCACCGACTGGCCTTCTGAACCTCGTGGCCTAGACAACCAGGACGAAGACCAGCCAGGCTGAGCCCTCACTCACCCCCACCTGCCGCTCTTCCTCCCCAGAGAGGAAGCCTGGTGCCTGCCCGCCCTTCCCAGCCAGGAGAAAGCTCCATCCCATTAGCCTCATGGCCTTGGCAGAGTTCAAGGCTTGCAGTAAGTCTATCCCTGGCTGCTCCACGGCCAGAATCAGGAGCTGGGCTGGCCAGAGACAGCAGGTGTGGACGGAGCTGCTGCCTGCCTCTGACATCCTCTTCAGGGGTGATGGAGGCACTGCAGATCTCCTTCAGGCAACAGAGGTTTCGTCCAATTATTACTTAACTGAGCCACTGCTATTTTCCCAGTCAGAAGCAGTGCTGTGCCACACTGCTGCTCGGGGAAAGCTCCTCAGGGCAGCTAAGGTTATGAACACCAACTGGATGCCCAAACTACACCGTCTAATTTCATCCTCACAACAAACCTACATGCTCTCTATCAGGATCTCTGTTTCAGAGATGGGAAGGCAGACGCAGAGAGGTTAAATCATTTGTTCAAGGAAACAGACGAGCTGGGATTTGAACCCAGAATGCCTGCAGCCACCAGCAGGCAATATTGTCTTTTCAGGAAATATCAGAGCTGGGAGGATCATCATATCTAACTCCCTGCCCTTACGCTATTTTACAGATGAGGAAAACAGAGAAAGGAAATGATTTGTCCAGGGTTGTGCCCAGAATCGGTGCCAATTCCAAAACTAGATCCTGGTTCTTTTGACTTCTAAAGCCAGCTATTTTTTTGAAAGGTTCTATTTTTCCTACTATCCTTTGCAATTCAAAGCAAACTTGCATGAAGCTACTGGGCCTCACTGGACTTCTGGGAAATATTGATAATCCTTAGACACACCTTATTAGCTGTGTAGCTTGGACATGGCACTTAACTCCTGTAGGTCTCAGCTCCTCACTGTACAATGGTGTCAAAGTGTTCCTTCTAGTGTGGTCATGAGGCTTGGGCGAGATCATCAGGGAAATGCATTCAATAGGGCCTTACTTACTAAAAAAGCATGCAATAAATGTTTGCTGCTCTTGTGATTACTTTACCCAATTGGTGTTCTACTATTTACATTTAATACTTATGAAAATCTTGGGTAGATGGGTATGGATATGTGTGGAGGGGGGATATATCCCCATTTAAAAGACAACAAACCAAGGTTCAGAGGCTGGCAGAACCTACACTCAACAGCTCTTTCTAGACATTCTGTTCTCTGACTCTGGGGAGAGATGGCAGCTGAGAGCTTGTCTCTAGCTCACATGCGGTTTCCTGTTGTGCAGTCTGTTCTCAGAGCACTTTTGCTGAGGAACGGGGTGGTCCGGTGGTTGGTGACGGGGAGTCTGGTGACTGGGTGCCCTGCCCTGAGCTTACAGGAAAGTCAATTCTAGTCCTCAGGGCAGTCCCGTGACAACCTTAGAGGAGCAAATCTAGCAGAAAAAGGCCTGGCTTCTTCACTGGGCATGAGACCTGAGCTCAGAATTAACATTTAGTCAGTTCAAGCACCTGGAGGCCTGGAAACTGTCACAAGACTGGAGGAGAGCCAAACGCTATCCAGTGGCTGAGGAAGGAGGAAATATTTCAAGGGCTAAACTCAGCTAACATGGTTTGCTTCTGACTATGAAGTACAGGCCAGGACCACCACATCATTTCCTCTAACTCCTTAAAATGAACAAGCAGGTGTCCTGGACTTGCCATGTCAACTATCCCACTGGGGCAACAACCTCAGACAAGGAATCAGGAGACCTTATCAGGTCAATACTTCCCCTCTCTGAACCTCTGCTTCCTGCATCATAGGAAATCAGGGAAGGAACAGGGCTCGGAGAGCACTAGTACAGTACCCATATTTTACAGAAAGGAAAAACATTATTGCTTACTGACCACTTACTATGTGCTACACACTGAGTGAAGCAGTCACATGCTTTAGCTACAGCAATGCTCTGGAGTAGAAATAGAAGCAACCTGCCCAAGTCACACAGATAGCTAGTTAGTGGCAGGGTTAAGACTTGGCTCCACCAAATGCTAGGTATGTGACCTCCGGCAAGGCACATGTCCTCTCTTGCCTCAGTTTCCTAATCTGTAAACTGGGGATAATAATAGCATTTACCTCATAAGGGTGACTAGGAGAACTGAGTTAAAGCATGCAAATTGCTTGAAGCAGTGTCTGGCATGTGGTAAATGTTCGCTAGTGCTGTAATTATTATTACTCTTACCCAACACTTCCCCTTTCTCATCTGTAAAATAAGAAGGTTGACTACTTCACCTCTAAGCACACCCTCAGTTTATGCACACCCTCAGTTTATTTAATGCTGGGTGTTCCACTGGGAACGTGGGCTCAGACGTGGCCCTCACCACTGGAAAATGCAGGCCACCATGTCACTTCTTTTACAGGAAGCCTTTTCAGACCATAGAAAAGAAATATCACAGACACTCAGGGCTGGAAGAATGATTTTGCCTAAGAATGGCAAATAATTTTCCCAGAGTCAGCCAGTACTGTAAAAATGAACGTGACTCTGGCTTCTCGTCGTGCACCCATCACTGACTCTGACAGCCTTTTCCACACGGTATCCCAGAGGGCCTCTCAAAATAAGCATCCTTCCTCCTGCCGTCCCAACCACAGGGCACGTCCTTGAGCTTCCCAGGTAGCCTCTTTGGCTTTCTCACATGTGGCAAACAGGCTCTCTGTCCTCCAACTCACTTTTTCGCTCCTGTCCTAGAGGAGATTCCACTGCCTATGGCTCAGGAAATTCAAAGCTGCAAAAAGAGTGGCTGGTAACCTTTTCTAGTAGCAGAATTTTGTAATTCACAGAAAGAAGTCAGCCTCTGGGTCCCCTGCAATGAGTGCCCAGCTTGATTTCTGCAGTGCCACTCACTTCCATGCCAGACACAGTCGATTAGACAGCAGGGAATTTGGTTTACAAAAGAGCTGGGTTTGAATCCAGGTTCTGTCATTCCCAGGCAGTGCGACCTTGGGCAAATCGCTTCACCTCTCTGATAAAGGTTTCCTCATCTGTGAAATGGGGAACAAGAACCCCTACCTCACAAGACTTTTGGGTTAGGAGTGAAGGCACCAAAGGAAAGGGTGTGTCCAAGGTCACCTAGTAAAGGCTAGAAACCAAGTCTCTACATTTTGAGCTGACTTTTCTCTTTCAACACCTCACTTCCTTTTTTGGGGGTAAGAATGCCACAAAGGAGTCTGATTTGACTGTGTACCTTCCTCCCCTCCTCTAAAGAGAGCACAAAAGAGAAGCTACTGACCTCTTGTAGGTGTAGCCCAAGACAATGCCAGCTCCAATGATAATGATAATCACCATCATGGCAACGCCCAGCACATAGCCTGCCAAGGACAGGATACAGGTTCCATTAGCCTCACCCCAGACAATCAGCAAATGACATTGCTTGACGAATCCCACAAGGACAGGGGTGGGGCAGACATACCCAGGGTTCCTAGGTCCTTTTTCTCCTTGGAGTTCACCCGCACCCGCTGGCTGATCCCAATCACTGGCTGCACGGCCGCCGCCTCACTCTGGGCAGGCAGGGCGTTGGCAGGAGCGAACACCTCATCTTCGCCTGGCACTTCAGATGCCTCCTCCGTTTCTGCTGTGGAGGCTGGCAAGGCCTGGGAAGCGGTCTCTGGAGGTGAGGTGGGAAATAGCTCTCATCAGAGAGTGGCCTGAGGGAATTCCACAGCTGAACCTTGCCAGAGTGTTGAGGAAGATGAAGGATGTCCACCTTGGAATGCTCCCCACACACACACTGAAATCAAACCCTGCCCCAGGGACAAGACCAGGCCTGAGAGGGCTGCTCCATTGCTGGGACAAGGCAAATGTGAGGGCAACGCCATGAGAAAGGGCCTCTCCTGACTCCCTTGTCTTCATCTGTCTAAATCCTTGCCACCTTCCAAGGCCCAGCTCAGTCGCCATCTTCTCCAGAGGGTCCCTCTCTACGCCAGGAAGACAATCTATGACTCCTCTGAGCAGCTCACATTTATTGAGCCCGTGCTTTGTGCCAATCCCTATGTTATATGCTTTACACATCCCATTCAATCCTAGAGAATTGTCTTGCTGCCTCGGGAGCAACAAACCTGCGCTCTGGCGTCTAAGAAACTTGGATTGAAACCCGGACCCCGCCCCTGCCTTTGGTAGAGCGCGGAACTTCCCTAAGGCTCAGCTCCCCCAAACAGCTGCTTCCCAGGGAGGCTGTGAGCAGCGCACCTAGCACGCATTAGATCCTCCACAAACGGTCGGTAAAAGCTGAAGGGCTCGCTAACGGCCTCGGGCCCGGAGCGCGAGTCCCTGGTGCTCCCACACGCGGCGTGACGAGCCGGGAGCGCGCGGCCGAGGGGCGGGGCCTCGCTCCCACGGTTGTTTACGAGGCGCTCGGGGAGGATGAGCTCACTCCGAGCGGCGAAGCGGCCAATGGGCTTCGGGCCCCACGGCCTGGAGACAGCCTTGGCCAATCGGGCGGCGCGGGGGCGGGGCGGGGCAGGCCGGCGGCCGCACGTGCGCAGCGGGGGTAACGGCCACTCCCAGGCAGCGCCGGCCTCAGGGGGTCCCGGGGGTCCCGGGCGGGTACCTGGGCAGCGCAGGTCCTCGCAAGGCCGCTTCTTGGGAGCGCTGGCCTCGCCGCTGACGTAGCACCAGGGCCCGTCGGGGTCGTTGTCCGGGTTCCGGCAGTAGCTGTGGTTGCCGGCGCCTGGAGAGGAGAGAGGGCAAGATGGGCCGGGGCCGCGGCCGCCGCCCGCCCGCCCGCCGCCAGGGGCGGACACTCACCTGACCCAGGAATCAACGCCAGGCCGCTCTGCGCGTCCAGCCAGTTGAGGCAGCGGAGGCCCGGCGCGGGGGAGGGCTGGTCCGCCCGGTACAGGTGGCCGTGGTCCCAGAAGCAGCCTGTGGGGCAGACTGAGTGGCAGGCGGCGAACGAAGGCGCCACGCGCGGCGGGCAGGGGAGCCCCGGCCCACCCTGGCCGTGTCCCTGCCCGGCTAGGGCACCCGGGGCCCTACACTGTCCTCACGTGGAAAACCTCGCCTGCCTCGAAGGGTTGTTGTGAGCCCCATAAGAGAAAGCAGCCGCCGGTGCCTGGTCCCCAGTCAGCGCTCAGAGAACGTTAGCTTGTTTTTTTGTAAGCCAAAAAGTACTGCACAAGTGTCAGGGGTTGTTACTCTGGAACTCGTGGCCGCTTTGGAGGAAGGTGCGGGAGAGGCCTGGGTTCGGGTCCCTTTGTGGAGATGGTGGGAATTTGGAGTCAGTGGGCGGCCAGAACTGAAATTCATCCCCGTGTTGTGTGTAATTCCATGTTACATAAACTCTGGGGTTCCCCTCTCCCCGGATACGGCCACACTTCCGCAGGCAACACTCCTTCCCAAGAGACTTCTACAAAAACCTTGATTCAGTCAGGCACAAGAAAGCCTCAAACGGAGGGAAGCTGCTCTCATCGCTGCCTGGATGTGACTCCCAGCTCCCACTCCCCTCAGCAGGAGAAACCCAGGAAGAGGCTGGGGAAGGAGGGCCTGTGCCCTGGCCGCATGGGTGCAAAGCCTCTGAAAGGAACAGGACTTAGGTAGGGAGTAGGGGAGATGAACCCCCGAGCTCCATCCACTCATGAGCCACAGGCTAGCAAAAGGAAGGAGAAAGTGGCTACTTGCCTTTGTTTTTAATGACAAGGATGGAGCTGCAAGCCCCTGGCAGGGAAAGGAAGAAAAAATTTTAAAAAAAGCTTTCATGGGACAACAGAAACTGGCTAAAAGCTTCGCTTCCTGTCATCTTCCTGTCTATCCTGGCCATGCTTGGGAAATAGGGAGCTTTACCCTTTCTGCTTCATTAAGTTGCTGCAGAAAGGAAAGATTGTTATCTCACCTCCAGATCCATAGGCTTTTGCTAGGAGCATGTTGCTGATGAAGAATGTTTGCACCCAGGCCAACAGCATCCTCACCTCCTTCGTCTTGCAGGTGATCAATAAAGCGTCCAACCGGGGTCCCCTTGGCGGTGGCTCTGCCTCCCGGCCCCAGCCTTGCAGTCAGACCTGCCCTTGTTATGCTCTTCTGGTAAACAGCCTCTCTTTAGAACTGGGAGCTTCCCAGCTAGCTTGCTGCAGCGAGGTGTTTTTCAGCTGAAAGGCGCCCCCTGGGTCCTAAGCCTCCTATGCCATGCAAGATCACTAACCCTGAGCCAAGAGAGGAACTCAGCCAAGTGAAGAGAGGCAGAGAAGTTCAGGTTGTGCTTAGCAGCAGATCAGTTTGAGACCTGCACTGGCTGCATCCCCAGGGCTTTTCCTCTCTTCTGTTTCCATTTGTGTGAGTACAGAAAGAGTAATTTTGTCAAGAGGCAGCGTTGAGGGGAGGGAGTCTTGGAATTATACTGACTAAAGCAGAACAGTTTATAGAGGATGTACTAGCTAAAAAAGGAGGAGGGACTCAAGACCACATAGGAGGCACAAATAAGAGTATCCAGGTGGAAGTAATCTTTGTACTCATTCTCGAAAAAGGGCCTTTGTGGTTTATACATGTTTATGAACACCGACTTGATTTTTTTTTTAAAACAGTGTAACTTTGCTAAGGTCAGATCAGTCACATTCGTTTTCTTATATTTGGGGTTTGGGGTGTCATACGTAATAAGAATACAGAAGGGGTCTCTTTAGTTGAAAACACATGTGCAAACATTGGGGCATTTGCTCAGCTATATTTTTTGATAATCTGTCCTTTCGACTAGCCCTGAATTCATATAGAGAACATTAAGTAAAATGTTTGCTGTTTTTCCCCCCACCCTGTGGGAAATCCATTTGCAGTGATTTATATCCATCATTAAACCTCACCACATCCATATGACTTAGGCCTTTTGGAGTTGGGCAGAAGGGCCCTCTTCCTGTTTGGCTGACAGTTCAAGTTCCCAGGCAGCCTCAGTAAACTGAAAGATAGAGCCGACTGATTCGCCAAGACTACCTTGTGACTCAGGCACGTCTCAAAATAGAAATGGGAGACTGTTTGGATCAGAGGACTTGGGTCTTGCAGGCAGTAATTTAGGGAGGAGAAGAAAAAAAAGTTTACTCAATAAGTTTCAAAAGTTTTATCAAGGAAGAAAGCTGATGTCAGTGCAACTAATCTGAAGTGAATTTCAATTCACTACCATCGGATGTCAGACATGGAAAGAACAGAGAGAAATTTAGTTCACTCTTTGGAGAAGTTTACTTACGGTATTTGATCCCTTCAGTCCATTTAATAAGACCTTTTGCTTTGTTTTTGCAGTCTCTCTCCTGTATCCCCAGACAAGCTCCTGATCCTCTGACACCTGATGTGGTCTACACTGGGAATCACACCACAGACTCTGTAAATTGACTCACACACACGTATCCACACAGATATGCCAAAATTGTAGAACTTAACAATTCCAACGTACTATTCAGGGGTCTTTTTAGCTCTTATTAATTTTACGAACTTTTTGAGAACCTACTACATGCTAGATATAGTTGTAGATACTGAGAATACATCTATAAACAAAATATTTGAAGTCTCTACCCTCATGGAGCTTATATTCTAGTTGGGAAAGACAAATTATATGATATAAAATGTCAGATGGTCTTACATGTTGTGAAAAAAAGCGAAACAGTGTAGGGAGAGAGAGCGTTGGGGTGGTATTTCACTTGCTAAAGAAAGCTTACGCTATTTTCAGGGAACCAGTAGAACATTTCTGTAGGCAAAGGCTGAAGAGGAAGAGTTCTTGGCACAATTTTCCTTGTGGGTCCTAAATATTCTTGCACCGCTGTAAGAGAGATGATGTGTATTTTGTTTCATTACATAAAATATATGGGCTTGGGGCCGGCCCCGTGGCCGAGTGGTTAAGTTCGCACGCACCACTTCGGCGGCTCAGGGTTTCACCGGTTTGGATCCTGGGCGCGGACCTAGTAGCCTCATCAAGCCATGCTGAGGCGCGTCCCATGTACCACAGCTAGAAGGACCCTCAGCTAAAATATATACAACTACGTACTGGGGGGCTTTGGGGAGAAGAAGGAAAAATAAAAAATCTTAAAAAAAAAATATATATATATATATATAGGCTTGAGAAAAGAGAGGGCAGTTTTTAATTTCAGAGTAGCAGGGGTTCTTATGGATTGACCCCTCAGTACCTAACCTATTGCCCTTGTATCCACTGAGTGCTCAATTAATGTCTGATGAAATGCTCCTCCTTAGACTCTGAGGGGCCACTTCTGCTGAATTATAATACTTTTCCTTCTGACTTTGATAGAGACGGGCTAACACAGGCTGGCACTTGTACCATGAAAAGATTATCTGCTGTGCCCATGTAGGGGTGCCAATATTGCTCCCTCAGAAGTTCAAAGCTTCCTTACCTGTTGCTGTTGTCACCTTATTTTTCTATTTAAAAAACTGCTATCATCCCTAACTTACACACCTTGATATACAGTAAAACCGTATTTTGTGCCATGTGTTTTATCAGGAACAGCACTGCCTAGAAAAGATATAAGACAGGCCAGAGGAGATTTCTTTCAGCTTAGTCATCTCTGCTTTTCCTCCCCTGTAACTAAGACATTCAGCTGCGTGATTTGATTTTTTTTTTTAAATGAAGGACTTGTTTCCCAGTTCTTCGTAGGCATATCCTATTATAATAGGTTCAGTACCTTCCTTCCTCAAGGAAATCAGATTTTGTTCAGAGATGTGCCTGTCACCGTCATTGATGATATTTTGGTCTTTTTCTTATGATCCAGATTTGAACTTTGCTTCGTGTATTGGTCCTATATGGCCAGATTTTATGGCCTATAGTTTTTCCAAACTTGAGATTTCTTCTGTAAATATTACTGCAATAATACTCTAATACAGCGCTACTCAAATACTCATTTTGGATTGTTTATATCCCTGAGGACAACATTGTGAAATATAACACTCATATTTTACTGAATATTTCAGGGATGTTTGACCCTTTGTTTCATATTAAATCGGTACTAACCCAGAGAGATGAAGCCATACCATGAACTCAGGAAATTGCCTTCAGAGAATTTCCCCAGAAGGATGGGTAGTTCATTTGGATAACGGGGTACATTAGTGGAAGAGCTCTAATAAGGAAGCCATAAAGCTGTTAAAAGGCTTCAGAATCCTTTTTGTCAGCAAAAGAGGGCCAAGGTATTGGTAAAAATCTTTGGAGTAAGATCTGATGAATTAGCTCCAGCTATTCTCTCCCCATCATGTGCTCTAGAAGGAGCCACTGAGATTGTGCTGAAGGATATTTGGGTGTATAATTGAAAACTGAGCAGAGGATGATTTTATGAAGCTTGTTAAGGAAATAATATTCCAGTCAAAATATCTAAACCCCAAGGCCATTTCTTTGAAAGTATGGCCTTCTGTAAATTAGGTTATTTCCATTTTGGTACAGTTAAGTGTTTAATAAATATTTGAAATGGGAAAAGCAGAATACCATGTAAGGAAAAAGAGTCTAATGAGTCCACAGAGAATAGGATTTTTCTAAGGGTAAATAATAAAACAGCCAAGAAGGCGTATGGATCACAACTTACTTTCAGAAACAAGACATTCCACACTGGGGAACCGAGGAGCCACAAAAGCAGAGAGCTTGAGAACCTCACGTCACTGGTTTTAAGTAATAAAAGGAAGAGTAAATTCCTGAATGAGAGTGGATTTTGACTTAGAGGCCAGCCTTAGAAAACATGGCTTTCACAATGAACACAGTCTTCAGTGTCACAGGGAGAACGCTAGACACTATAAACTTCATTGGTTGGTGAAACTAGGCTATCGATATTTAAGGTAAATTAACCCAGTAAGCTACAATTATGGCTCTTTAGGAAGGGGATCGAATATTCTCCACTCTCAGTAAACTGGATCTGCAGCTTTTAAAGTTTATCAACATCCGGTATGAGCTTTAGCACTGACATTTAAAGCAAGAGAAGCAGTATGTCAAATATAAGAGTGCTGTCTTTGGGAGGCTGGCCCAGTGGCATAGTGGTTAAGTTCACAGGTTCCACTTCAGCAGCCTGGGTTTCATGAGTTCGGATCCTAGGCACGGACGTACACACCACTCATCAAGCCATGCTGTGGTGGCGTCCCACATACAAAATAGAGGAAGATTGGCACAGATGTTAGTTCAGTGCCAATCTTCCTCAAGCCAAAAGAGGAAGATGGGCAACAGAGCCAATCTTCCTCACCAAAAAACAAAGAGTGCCGGCTTTGGAAAGACCTGGGTTCCAGTCTCAGCACTATGGTATGATCTTGGATGAGTTACTTAGCATCTATAATTCTAAGTTTCCTTAGCCTGCTGTTATAGTATAGTTACAGTTAAGAGTACAGGCATCAATGTCAGGATTCAAATCCCAGCTCTGTCACTTACTAGCTGTGTCATCTTAGACGAGATGCTAAACTCTCTCTGATTCAGTTTCCTCATATGGAGGGAGAAAGAGATAAAAATAATATCTATATCATTGGATTGTTGACCCTCCATTGAGCCCTGAATAAATGTTAACGGTGTCAGTTTTTGTGTGAGTAGCCTCTAACTTAGCAGTACTGAGTACTTAGAAGTTCCCATGTGTGGACTTTATCTTGAAGGTACTTATGATGACCCAACTTATGATTTTTTTACTTTACAATGGTGCAAAAGCGATACACATTCAGTAGTAGCCATACTTTGATTTTTGAATTTTGATCTTTTCCCAGGCTGGCCATATGCAGTACAATACTCTCTCATGGTGCTGGGCAGTGAGCTGCAGCTCCTGGTCAGCCATGCAATCACAAGGGTAAACAACCGGTACACTTACAATCATTCTGTACCCATACAACCATTCTGTTTTTCCCTTTTAGTACAGTATTCAGTAAATTACACGAGATAGTCAACACTTTGTTATAAAACAAGCTTTGTATTAGATGATTTTGCCTAATTATAGGCTAATATAAGTGTTCTGAGCACATTTAAGCTACACTAGGCTAAGCTATGATGTTTGGATGGTTAGGTGTATTAAATGCATTTTTCACTTCAGCTATTTTTAACTTATGATAGGTTTATCGAGATGTAACCCCATCTTAAGTCGAGGAATATCTGTATATTTGCTATCTTCAAGAAACTTAC